GATGATCTACTCAGGTCCCTTCCGAACCTAGAAACTATGAAATTATTTTATGTTTCTCTGAAACTGCAGCTTAATGGGTAGGACACCCCTTTGAAATAGGGAAGTTCTCAGTTCTAATCTCTGCTCCAATTAATGTCTGGGTATTTTCTGTTGAGTCCCAGAATATCACCCAAAACCTTAAACAATCCTTTCCCTTGCATTCTGTGTTGTTAAGATCAGGATTTGTACCTCCAGTATACATTTAAATGATAGGCCACCAGCTGGACCTGATACATGTGCTAATATCCCAGTGGGTAAGGTCTGGACTGCATGAGCTGTATTTGGACTGTGATATGGTTTGCAGCAGGTTACATATGTAAATAAACAGCATGAAAACAAATCAACTAGACCTGGTATAGCTAATATTTGCTATTTTAAATATTTATCATTCTTTTAAGTTTGTTCAACTTTGGCAAGGAATAACTTGCAATTGGCATTGACACCTGAGACCACAGGATATCTAAGCAAAAGCATATGGCAAGGTACTCCATTTCTGCTGGGCAACAGCTGAAAGAAAGTATACTTCACTCCCTTTCTTCCCATTTCATTCTGTCACAACTTCATGACTAACTACTCTTTCACTTGCATTCTCTCCCTCTTGTCTCCACACTTTCTTCCGCATAGGTCACTCTACGACTGGAATCTCCTTCCTGACCTCATTCATACGGAACAGAAAGCTTTTTTAAAGACCTAGTTAAATATAATAAGTGCTTTGGTTAGATAAGGATATGAGTCAGTCCAGAAATGTTTTTCTGAATGCCTCATCACAGTGTTTTTTTCTTAACTACTACTGGAAGTAGTTAAGGTATAATATTGTACATACACATGTACATAAACAAACATGTTATCTGCTTTAAAAAGCCCATGTTTTTAACTTGATGATTGGTATAGGGCTCTCTAAGCAAAACTATCAATAGAACTGTTTTTGAAATATAGAAACTTAAAGTTTCAGGTGACATTAACCTACTAGTAATATATAATCCAGTATAGTTACTCCTCAGGGAAGAAGGAACACCCTTCTGAATCAAGCAGACACATTTTTTCTTTTTGTTTTAAACTCTTTCCATCTCCTGAAAGCCATTCTGTCACAATTGAGATAGATAAATATCAGTAGACACTGAAATGATGCTAGTGAAACATTTGAAGGTTCATACTGAACTTGGGGGAACATAAAAACCAGGATTTTCACCCAAAAAATGTCTCTTTGGCAGGTTTGGGATACATGAAGAACTCATGTTCTATAAACGGTGTGTGTCTAGGCCTAAAGGACTTCTGAAAAACTTTCAGCTCTTACCTGCCTCAAAGGTATTTTTCCTAAGCTATACATCCCATCTTTTTTCTTTTGAAGGAACCACAAATCCCTGACAAACTGTTGGGATGTTCCTTAGAATTCTTTCAGCCAGTAATCTGCCTGGGAATCAACTGCAATAGTGCATCTTTTAGCAGCCACTTCCATCTCTGTAAACTGGTGAAATCTCAGAATAAGTTGGCCTATGAGTAGGATGACCTTATGTCCCAGTCTGGCTGGGATATTCCCCGATTCTGTAGGCTGGTCCCAGCCAGTGGATCAAAAGTCCCAGGCCAAAGTCTGGCAGGGAGGCAAAGCATCATGGTGCACCAGGCAGGCACCGCTGCTTCTGTGTACATGCACATGGCACATCCTTGCTACTGCACAGCAGTGGCAATGCCTGCCCAGCCACCTGCCTGGTGCACCGCTCTGCTCTGTTCTCCGCAGACTCCAGCCCAGGGCCTTTTGATCAACTGGCAGGGACCAGCCTATGGAATCTGGGAGTATCCCAGCCAAACTGGGACATATGGTCACCCTATCTATGCCACTCTGCCCTACTTTCTGCCTAACTACTTCTCCCTGGTTAAATCTGGATGCTGACATGCAAACTCTCACAGAAAGTAACAGTTTACTTAGGCAAATATGAGGCAAAAAAGGACATTTCTAGAGATCACCAGCTGCTGAACCATAGCTTCTAATTTAATTACAGATTGACCAAGAGACAGGTATTCCTGATCTACTATCCCTTCCTTTACCTGTTGAGGGTTAAAAGGATGGTTTCTTTGAGAGTGGATTATTTTATAGCTGCCTAGTTTTACTTTCTTGCAACTTCTTTTCAAGCATCTGGTACTGGCTGGTATTGGTCCAGATTAATAGACTAAAAGGACCACTAGCCTGATCCTGTACAACAGTTCTTTTGGTCACTAAACGTGAGTTATAACAGAGTGTTCGCAGACAGCTCAATTTTTGTCTTTACCTCATGCTATAAAGCACATGACCATCCGGGAACACTCGCAGCATGATGTTGTCAGTGGTTGTGTCATGAATGAATGATCTTTTGGAGTGAACAAAGAAAACATCTGGAACCCAGATCTTCTTAACCAGTCTGCCATCAAAAGTCATGCTTTTGTTAGTGGTGCTGGGAAATGACAGGCGTTCATCCTTCCAGTAGTGTCTTAAGTATAGAGTCATAGTAAAATCCTGCATTAGAAGAAAAGAGAACTGTGAAGAAATGTGTCACAACGATGACTGATATCTGAGAGCCAAAAGAAAGAGAACAGAAAGACATCCCAAACCCCTTTATCCCCTGCTCCCTCTTAAATGCATTACTCAGCTTCTGATTTTTTGTGTATTTTCCTCTTTCTCTGAAGTATCGGATAGTGGCCAGAACTGAAGGTGAGAGATCAATTACGGTGTCCAGGTGCTTGTAGTGATACTGAGAAAACTCTTAGGTGCCTTGCAGTGTGTTTTGTTCATGATCTCTGGGTTAAAGTGATCACAAGATTTGGGATCAGGAAGCAATTCTTCTCCCAGGTCAAACTGGAAAAGACCTTTGGGGTTTTGGGATTTTTTTTTCCTATTTTCCTCTGTCGCACCGGGCATGATCCACTTCTTGGGACCATTGTGGCATATTATACCTAACAGATTCCCTGACACCGCAGGGACCTAGAGCAGGGGTTGGTAACATTTTCCATTGGGGGTCCAGAATGACCCAGCTTGAGTCAGAAGTGGGCAAGCACTACAACCCGGCTGCCACCACCACTCTTCCCCATGACCCAGCTGCAGTGTGGCATAGCAAAAGTTCTCTCTCTGCCAATGTCCCAGGTGCCCAACTGCAGCATGGTGTGGGGAAGAGCCCCCACCACTGAATGCTGCCAAAGCTATGGCTGAACAGGCTGGGTCCAGAAACTTTATGGGCCAGATCCTCGGTTATAGTGCCCTTGTGTCTCTTGTACCCTTCTTATGGCACATTGCAGATTTTTGAGGTTCTGTTTTGTTTTGTTTTTCTTGGGTGGGGAGGGGGGAATAAAGAACCTAAGTTTGTCATGGGGCATTAAGAGGTGCTTTATGGCTGTGAAATGCAAAAGGCCTGTTCTTGTGGACCCTTTTGGATAAAAATATATGACATGGTTGCCAGCAATCACAGGGAATTGGATTCAGTGACTAGGTCCTTTTCAGTTGTACATTTGTGGAATAATCTGTTGCTATATACTAATGTCACTCAGATAGATTAAATTTATTCCCTTTCAAGCACATTTTTCTTCCCTGGACTAATGCTACCAAAAGAACAGTTTCCAGCAGAAGTGAAGCATTCTGGGAAAATTCACCACCCATGCATTTCATATGTTAGATTAAAAAGTAGGATAGAGAGAAAAGAAGATACCCATATATTTCCACCAGAAAGTTGTTAATACACTATTCTAGGCTCGTTGCAGGTATTTCTTAGAAGGCATCAACGAAGATCAGTCATAGGAGAAAAGTAAATTCATGCCAGTCTACCCACTGCATTAGAAAATGCTTTCTGGATCCTGACAACATAATATTAAAGGAAAATGGACATTCAGTGTACATAAAAAAGCAAAAATCTGATTCCAATGAGATAAATTATGAGCCTAAACATTGAGCAAGTTATCCTAAAGAAAGAAGCAAATTATTGCCAACATTAACAGAATGAAAGGACTGTATCCTTATTATACAAGTAAATAAATAAAAATTCCATTTTAAGCTGGTAGGGGTGAAAAAAAAACAAACCCTGCAGCAGCACAAAGAAAAACATTTGTTTCTGCTGTTGACCTCAACCTGTCACCTGCAGCTTTCAAAACTGAATAACCATTTCGAGCTTAGAGATAAAATACACGTTTGTATTTATGTTCCCAATTAAGCAAGATGCTACAAAAGTAACTTCAAAAGTCTTGTCTGCCAGGTCTTGGACAAGAGCAGTGCATGCTGGGTTTTTGTTCCTAATAGGTTATCACTAGTTCAAAACCCTACAAAGGGCTTGTTTCTACTTGCAGAATGGCAAAGCAGATCACCTGTAGAGCCACTCAGATGTTCTGCTGCTCAAGATGGTAGGTTTACCATGGAGATATGACCTCATAGAAACTGTTTGTATTCAAGCCATAAACACTGTAGAGTTCAAATTTTAAGTTAAACCCTTGTCTTTAACTTTGTAGATTATACCTAGACACTGCACTGCACGGTGCATAAGAGGAACAGTGAGGAAGTGGGTTAAGGAAGAGTAGAAATAAGAAGATGCTTCTCCTTTTTCCTCCTCATTCATCCATTTCTTCCTGCCGGTTTTGCTTCCTGTGTTTCTCACTCATGTAAACTCACATTTACTAACTAAAGGAGGCTGACTTGGTATCTCACTCACATACACATACCCCCTTTGTAGCCAGCAGCACCTTGAAAATTGTTGCTAATTGATATTTGGATCCACCTTCTTTCTTTTTCTTAAAGACAAAATACAACAACAACAACTATTAGTTGCAATTGAGTTCAGCACCAATACATATCTCTAGAGTGGCAGCACTGCTGACTGAAACCCAATTATCACCAGTGCAAACTCAGTACTGGAAAAGGCAGCTCACACTTGCCCTCACTGCCCCAGCCATGTGCATTTGAACTGGATTAGAGGACTCATAGAGATGAAATAGTGGAAAACAGCTTTTTTAGCTTATGTTATCAACTAGTTCTTCTAAAATTCCTCATAAATTCACATATTTAAGAACAGATTTTCTGGCTTCATAAAAAAGGAGAAAGTAAATAGGACTGTCTTGAATCTCACAATATTTTGTTTTCAGCCATCTAAAGTCAACTGATACGAATTCTTCTATGGGGCATAATGAAAAGAACACTTCAGGCAACTGTTTATATTTTTGCTTGCTACTTATACTGCATATATCACTCTTGTTTTCTTTCAAAGTCCTTTTGTCCCCTTTACAGTTCTTGTCTTCTTTACTTGTAGGTTAAATAGTGACCGTTTGAACACTGCACATCTTTATTAAGTCTCTAGCTCTGATTACATGCCTTTCAGACTTGCAGCATTTGCCTTCATCTGGAAGATAAACTGAAACCTAAATATGTGATGTTCCCCGAGTAGGAAGAATGGAGGCTTAAAGAAAGTCTTACATACCATATCGACCTCAGAAATACTGTCCAAGCTTTCAACCTGTACATCCACCCCAACTGGAATTGCAGGGCCTGTGATAGAATGAGATTTAGACATTTAAATACTGTCCCTTTATATCATCTAACTTCAGTTAGTTTCACAAAATAGTGTTCAAAACATTTTTGAGCCTATATTGTATTTTTTTGGTACTTCAGGGTCTATGGAGAGGCAGACTGTGAGCAATGAGCCAAACATCCCTCTAAACACTAAATCTGCTTCTTGTTTCCAAGCCCCAAGCAGGGATACTATGAGCCAAATCCTATTCCACTAATTAGTTGCCTAAGTGTGATTTTATTCTACCCTGCTTCACTCTCTGAAAATCATGAATGTAAAGGTGGTGGGTCCTCCTCCCCATCACTGCTTTTGGTGATTCAGTCTCAAGGTAAAGATGAGAGGACAATATAAAAGTAAACAAGATAGCAGTTTTGTAGGGGCTCAGGCAGGGTGGAATAGCATCACACTTGGACACAATTATGAGTGGGTTTAGAACTGGCTCCATCATCCATAGCTTTAGTGAAGCACTTTAGAAAGATTCCCAGCAGAACAAGTCCATTCCAAATCATAGCTCTTTATGTTGAAATCCAGCCCAAAAAACAAGAGCATAATAAGGAGAAACCATAGTCGCTGTGATCTCAGTGAGTTTTTCATTCCCTTTGTTATCAGCAATGAGACAAGTTCTATTAATCTTTGCTGAATCTTTGGGAACTCTTCATCATTTTCTTTCAAATGGCCATGTTTTCTTTGCCTGTCACCCAATGATTATTTGGAGATTATTAAAAAAGAGTCAATGATTTTTCAAAGGAATTCTAAAACAAATGGTCAGATAATCCACAAAAAGCAAATAAGTAGATATCACTCCATCATTAAATCAAACGCTGGTATTATTAGACACTATTTATCCCAGTATCACAGTGAGCAATTGCT